ACAGAATGAAAGGGTCTGTTCATTCGTGGCTGCGATCGCTTTGAAATCCAGCCACACAGGGCGTTTCCAAACTTTTTCTGAAAGAATTCACATGTGATGAGATAATTCGGAGTTGGGGCTGGGGGAGTGTTTCAAAATCGCTTTGCAAAGTCAACCTCTCTCTTCATTCCATTTTTTTTTCCCACCAGCTTATATAATATATAATTAGGGGAGCCAGGCGGCTTCCTTCCCTGGAGGTGGACTGCAGGAATCTGTTTATCAGTACGGTCATCCTTTGCATTCTCTGCCCCACACTGTCTCCTTATCAGCTAAGGCCTGGGAGCATCCGTTAAACCTTCCTTCCTGTACCCCTCCTCAACAGCCACCCAACTCCAACACCCAGGAGCACCCAGCAGCCTAGAAGGAAGTGGCCTTGGGGATCTCCTCTCAGCACCTCCCAGCCAGCCCCAGGCTGCCCCGCAGCCCCAGAACTAAGGTGGGGCTGTCGTTCTCTTTCCATCAACATTCCTTCTTGTAAACTCTATTATAAACTTTTTATTTGTCCTACCTCGGTTCATGGCACCTGAGCAGGCAGAGCCAGGCTTGAGTGTTTGCAAAATGAGTAAGTTTATGACGCTCAGCATAAAACAGCACTTCCTTTTCATAGCTCAAAACTTATAGACCCCAATGTCAAAGGTTGTCCTTGCCTATGGGGAGGCACCACCGTGCCTGGTTTCACATGTGACCGGGCATGTCCACCTCCACCCTCACTTAACAAGGTCACAGAGTTCCCGGGCCCCTCCAGGGTGGACCCTCACCCTTCCCTCCCCCTCTTGGTTACTACACACACCTTAGAATGCCACGTACACAAACCAGTGCACAGGCATCGACCTGCACAGCAGGCACAAACGGCAACTTCCCAGGTACCTGCCCCTGTGTGGCACATGTGGGGTGCGGGGGGCCCAAGGCTGTACCCCATCTTCCTGGAAGCCCCTCCCTGAGGTCCAGGAACCCAAGAACAGCTCCATCCAGACAGCCCTTATACGCTACCACGGGACACTTCTGCCACCCACATGAATGAGGTTCCTGTACACAGGTTCTGCACCTTCAAGCCCCTCAACAGCCTCCCATCTAAGGGAATCAGGATGCCGGGAGAGGATCCTGCTGTCCTAATAGCAGGGCGTCTGCCTTGCTCCACCCACAACACACTCCATCCAGCACCATGTACCACTCCCCACCACACACACACACACACACACAGGCTAGGAGTTGCAGCCCAGCTGTGGCAGGCACTCCAACTCTCCAGGCCCAGCTCAATCTCACACCCTCTTCACAGCCACAGAAATGAGCTTCCCATCTCCTCTCCCTGCCATCCATCTGTCCCAACCATGGGTTGGAGAAGGCTGCCCACCTCTGACCAAGCACACTCGACCTCTGCCCTGGCCTCTAAGGACTCCTCCAGGCCCCAGTATACAAACGATAGAGTTGAGGGGAGCCGGGGAAAGGGGGTAGCCCAGAGTTAACAGGAGTGGGTTGTGTCAATCAGATGCTGTGCGGGCAGCCGTCCTCCGCCCACCCGGTAAGTCACTCAGCCTTTCTCGACCTTGAGCACCTGTCTGGCAAAGGCCCCAAAGCCACCTGCTGTGAACGGACTTTGGCAGACCCTCCCTGGGCAGCTGGGGGATCCCTGGGGACAAGCAGACCTTCCAGGTTTCTTCCACACCCGCCGCCCCCTCCTTGCGCCCTGGACACTGAGAACAGGTGCTTTCTGCCTCTTTTGCACACTGATTGGGGCGGGGGGCGGGGGGGTGGAGGGGGGTAGGGAGCGGGTGGGTGAGTGTCAGCACATCCCCAGCAGTGTTATTCTCACCCCCAGCCTTCTTCCCAGACAACCTGGTCTAGAGGTCCCCAGGGTCTGCTGAGCTCCAAGGAGCTTTAGGGATTCTGTCCTAAGACCACCTGCCTGCCACAGCATCTCAAAGAGGCAACAACACACCTGTTGCTAACATGCTCTCACAAAGTCCCTGAGTCCTCCCTGGCCTCACTGTCCCCGGCATGGCTGGGACCCCCTTACTACCCCTCCTCCCTCACCCCATGGTCTTCCACTCCAAGTCTCCTCTTCCACCTGGGACCTCCTCCTGAGCCCTTCCATGGCCGGGGGAATTCAGAAGACTGACCCGCAGGGGTCAAGACCCAACCACTGCCTTCCACACCACTGTGCCCCCAACCCCTCGGCCATCTCTACCTGGAAAGGCCTTCCACGGGCACACTTGCAGCTCCCCCAAGGCAGCTATGGATGCCCCACCTACACAGCATCCCGAAACCAGCTGGAAACACCCGGCTGCCTGAACAGGTGCAGCCCGCAGAGTGACAGACAGAGAACACCACTAAAATGACAGACACATTGGGGATGCCACACCACCACGGGTTGCACCCCATCCTTGGTGCCACAGCCTCGTGGGATTCCCAGAGTGCCGCCTCTTCTCCAAGCAGAGTGAAGGCACAGGTCTGCAGCCCCTTTGGAGGGAGGGGAGGAAGAAGGAGAAGAGCTGGCCCAGGCAGCCCTGCCTGAAGCCAGGATGCCCAGCGGTGCCTGCTCACTGACCTGGTGTCGATGTGAATGTCGTGGATGATGATGTTTCAGCAAAACACAGGGCCTGGAGCTGGAGAGCCAGCAACAAGAGCCAGGTCACCAGCATCTCCCAAGGAGAGGCAGAGAAGTGAGAGGCTGTGAGGGAAGTGGCAGGTATAAAAAGACCCCGGGGACCTTGGCCACACGGAAGGGTAGAGCCTGGCCCGGGGTGGGGGACCTGATGATGCTGGCTGAGTGGCCCTTAGTGCCGCAGGGAGTGGGCCAGAGAACAGCCTATCAGCTGGCTTGCCCTCTAATCCCGCCAGCCCGTGCCTGGGTTACCCCAAGGGAAGCCAGGCTCAGGGTGGGGCAGAGCAGGAGGGAGGGGTTGTGGGGGGGGAAACTATGCTTGGGTTGCCAAGTGACAGAAGCCAAGACACAGCAGGGAGGGAGGGAGCACAGAGGGAGGGGTGCAGGGACCCCAGGAGGAGCAGCCAGCGCCAGGCCAGACTGAGGGAAGAGACCTCCATACCCACCCCAACAGGCTCCTCTTGTTTTCCTACCTTCCTTTCCCATGGCCCACTTCATACTGACCCTTTCCAAATTTCCAGAGCTTTCTACCAGGTGGGGCGTCCAATTCACACCTGACATTTTTATGATTTTGGTCTCCACCCGGCCAGAGATAGAGATGGGGAAAGGTCATGACCAGTCCCTACCCAGGGCAAAGGATTCAGGGCTGTCACTTACACTGCTCACCCAAAGACCCAAGCAGACAAGTCACCGCGATCCTGCCCAGTCGTGACCGCATAGCACTGACCGCCCAAAGTAATGAGAAGACAAAGGCCCCAGCCCGGCCCCAGCTCGCATGAGCACTGGCTGTTGGTCAATATTTGCAGTGGGAGTGAAGGAGGCTCATGTCTTTTTTTAGGGGGGGGTGGGGTGGGGAGTCTCTGCAATGCCCATGTTTTCAAAAAGCAGCTGGTCCAGGCAAACCCACCAGCTCCTGATCCAGTGCCAGCCGCTTCCTTCGCCCAACAGCACCAGCCCTAAGCTCTCCCAAGATCAACAGGATTGGAACTCCTAGCAAAATCCAAGCGGGGGAAGCTCTGCCTCTCAGCCAGGCATTCACTAACAAATCTGGTCTGCTGAGATCTGGAGGTCCTCCAGCCTGACAGTCCCAGCCCAGGTGCAGCCCAAAGACGCCCCGCTTGTTTCCTGGCATAAAGGGGCTGGAGACCTGTGGCCTCACCCTGCTTGGAGGAGAGGGGGCACTCAGGGAATCCCAAGAGGCTGTGGCACCAAGGATGGGGTTCAACCTGTGGTGTTGTGGCATCCCCGATGCGTCTGTCACTTTAGTGGTGTTCTCTGTGTCTGTCACTCTGCGGTGCCCCTACAACTTCTCTAGCTGGGGAGACCAACGAAGGTGAAAAATGAGAAAGACATAGGCTGCTTCTCTGGTGACAAACACTGTATTCTGTGTTCAAGCCGAGGACCAGGGACATGCCACCTGCTGTCTCGAACCGTGTGTTCCTGGCCAAGGAGGTGGAGGGGTAACTTTCAGAACCTGGAGGCTTGCAAGGGAGGAGACACCAGGGAGGGGGTGGGGAGCAGGAGGAGGGGCATCTGGGGGAAATGACCCACCCTGGCTAGCCTATGGGCCTAGGAAGGGGCGGGGCCTCAGAAGTGAGGCCAGAGGCACCTGAGACACAGCTGTTCATCCTCGGCTGGGCACAGGGAGGAAAGGACTCAGGGGACAGGGACCAGGATCCCAAAGCACTGAGGAGGGGTCAGAGAGGGAGACCCGTTAAAGAACAGGAGCATGGGCTAGGTGAGGATAGAGGAGTGGAGAGTGGGGGCTAGTGCAGCTGGCACGGCTCCCAGGAGCAAGCAGTGAGGGGACAACCAGAAACCTACAGCGAGGGAGGCGAGGATCGGGACTGGCAGTGAGGCAGTGAGTGCACGAGGACAGATGGGGGCACAGAACCAGATCAGCGGAGGTGGCATTCACAGGGTGTAGACAAGGGGTTGGGGGAGAGTGTTACATTTGTTTCACAGGTGAGGGGAACCGAGGCTGCAGCTTGCCCAAGGTCTCACAGCAGAAGAGCCTGGATGTGACCTGGGTCTCCACTCCAGGTGGGTTCCAACTAAACGGGGAGGAGGCGGATGGGGGGACTAGGCAGGTGGAGGAGAGAGTGTCATGTTGTCGAGGACACAGGGAGCCCCGGTGACTCAGGTCTCAGAGTGGTCTCTTGCCACGGAGGCCGTGCAGGTGGTTCCCTCGCACTGCACTAGAGCTAGGAGGGTGGGATGGAGGACATGGCTGCCTCAGGTCCCTGGATGTGCACCTGCTATGGAAAGCTCGGTAAGGGTGTGCACACAGACCCAGCCCACCCTGCCTCCTCCCCAGGAGTGTGGGGACAGGAAGGGGACTGCAGGCTTAGCCTCTCACCCTCACATTGTGATCCACCATCTCCAAAGCCACGCGGCAATTTTCTTCCTCCACTAGAGAGAAAGAGACAAGAGGAGAGAAGGAGAGGCATGGGTTAGGAAGAGGGCAGTGGGACAGGGAGATAAGGCAGCTGGCGGTCCCTATAGTGGCTTTGTGGTGACCCAGTGAAGTAAGTCAAGCTTGTGACCAAGGCTGCAATCCCCAGGGCCCACTCTGCGAGGATGGCCAGGTGCCTGCACTGCCACACGTGGGACAGGCGGATGGAGCTGCATGGAGCCGCAGCTCTGCTGGGGAGTGAGCCAGCGCAAACAAGATCTCTGTTTCTGTGTAACTCTTTCAAACACAAATCTTTTGATAGAGAGAGAGAGAAAGGAAGGCAGGGTCCCAGTACTTCCCCTGGAGGAGCTGACACGAAATCCCCAACTGGCACACACACTTGTCCCATCCAGCAGCACTCACCTGCTCTGGAACCCTGCAGGCTCACGTTAGAGAAGATCCCCACGATGTCCTCGTCCCAGGACTCCCCCCACTTCCTGTCCTGGTCCCAGTGCCTGAGCAGAGAAACCGGTGGTCACGCAAGCCGTCGGCTGTCCCCTACCCTGCCGTCCCCAGCGCTAGGGCGCTCACCTGTCTTGGCGTGAGCTTCTGCGCCGTCGGGCGCGCGCCACCAGCACGCCCAGCAGCAACAGCAGCAGCAACAGGAGCAGCGCGGCCCCCGCCAGGCACCCGACCAGAGCTCTCCAGTGCACAGCTGCCTCGCAGCGTGGACCCCAAACCCAGTGCGTGTCCGAGGAAAAGCAGCTGCGGGAGGGTACAGGACTTAAGACCCGCGGGCCCCCGGCTGAGCCCGGGTGGGCGCATGCACCTGACCTGGGGTGCAGGAGCTGGAGAAGGGGGCGGAGCTCCATCATAGCCGTGAGCCGGGCCTCCAGGGATGCGCCGTGGGAAGCAGGGGCCTGATGCAAACGGGGCGGGACCTCTAGGAAAGCGTCCTGAGTGGACGGGGCTTCGGGAGAAGCCTCATGGTTTGATGTATAAAGGGCAGGATTTGATGCATAAGGGGCGGGCCTGGTGAAGAGAAGTGGGGCTCAGACCCTACTAGCCAGGGCTCACCGGCAGGTGGGTCCGCTCCTCTGCAGAAGGCACAGGCCCTGGTGACAGTCCAGGGCGCCGTCCACGCCCGCCGCGCATCTGGTGACGCAGCGCAGCCGGTTCCCGTCCACCACAGGAAAGTAAAACTCCTCGTAGCCCTGCGCAGCGGCGCGGCGGCAGAGAGCTGCGGGCGGGGCCAGGGAGCTGCAGAGACCTCGGCTGCTACCCAAGGGGCGAATGCGCCTGGGCAGGGCTGTGGATCCCCTGAAACAGACCCCTGTCCCCTTCCCCTCGCCTCACCCAAACTGCCCCACTCCCACCCCTCCTCTCCGGGAACTGCGTGCGCGGTTGTTGTCCGTGCTGGGAAATGTCAAGGCCGCAGCCTCACCTTCCGGGGTCAGCTCCGTTGGGGTGCTGTTGTGCACTTTGGCGGAGTCAGACTTAAAACACAGGACTGGGGACACAGGCGCCCACGCGATGGAGCCAGGCGGATTTGGGGAAGGGCACAGAGATAGCTCAGTGTGGGGATGTGAGGAGGGGCCCCCCCAGGGGAGCCTCCCACGGGGATCTTCAACCCCACCAGCTAGGGGGCCCAGTTCTCCCGGTGGGGTGGGAGGGTGCTGGTTGATTCAGCCGGAGGTGGACCCATGCCCCCTCCTCCCAGCCTGGCAGAAGCACCCCCAGGACTGGCCCTGAGCCACCGGAGGCCCCCAGACCGGAGTGGGAGCACGTTGGCGCTGACCCTTTCCTTAGCCCCAGCTCACTCTGGCCACTATGGCAGGTGTCCAAGTCCTGGCTGGCCTTCTGGAGCTGCTCCCCCACTTTCTTGTACTGGCTCTTCAGCTGGGGACTGAAGGGCAGCTCCAAAAGGGCCAGATAGTCCACCACAATGCTGCCATTCCTGAGGGAGGGGGTGGGGGGAGGGAGGAGAGACAGGTGATGAGAACCAGGCTGTGAGAGGAGCCTGTGCCAGGACCCCTGACTGGCTGTATCTGAGACGACCAGACCAGAAGTGACTGACATGGGCTTTGCCACCACCAGGTACACATACAGAGAGGAGCAGGTTCTCGCTGGCTCACTCTCTCATTCACCCAGCAGAACAGCTGCCAGCCAGCCTGAAGCCAGGCCTGCAGTTCCCCCACACCATCTCCCTGCAGATGCCATGCCCTTAATATCTCTCCCTGCAGCCCGCTGAAGAGGTGTGTGTGGCCCCTGCTGCCATGGAAGTCATCCCCCAGGAAGTGATGGCAAAAATCCCAGTTCCCAACTGGGAGCAGTTTCCTTGCACCCATCTCCTGCTCCCCACCCCTGACCCTCTCTCTAGGAAATTCTGGTGCCCCAAAGCACCCCATACCTGAGGGACCGGATCTGCACCCCTTTGAACTCCTGCACTTCCCGGTAAATCTCCTGCATCTGCAATGGGGAGGCAGCCTAGGCTGGAGCCCCAACTTGCAGATCCCAGGGCAGGACTCTCAGGTCCCCTTCCCTTGCCTTCCCTTCCCTCCCCTTCCCTTCCCTTTTCTTTCCTTCCCTTCCCTTCCCTTCCCCACCCTCAGCCCATCACCTGCTCCTGAAACGCCTGGCTGAAATCCCTGTAGGCCTTAGACATGTTGTCCTTCAGGTCCTGGGTGAACTCCTGGTCCACAGACACCTCCATGACCACCACGGCCTCCACTGTGTCTGCACACACAGCCCACCCAGCTCTGGTTACTACCTGTCTGTCGCCCCCTCTGCCGTATCCCCCATCCCCAGGTAAGCAGATTCACAGCTTCTGAATGGGCACCCTCACTAGTCCCAGGAAACACCGTTAGGATGTCCTAGAGAGAATGAAAGCTGTGGGTAAAAGTCTGATGACACAGTGTGGGACAAAGTGTGGACTGTGCTAGGGGGCCCCTTGCATAGCGCAAGAGGGAGGCAGAAGCAGTCAGAGTCGACGGGAAGAAGACATGGCAGCTGTGGAAGAGACAGGAGGTGGGGACGCCTGTGGCTGCCTCAGATGGTGCAAGCAGGGGTCCCTGACCCAAGGACTGCAGGCAAGGGAAGGGGCCTCCAGGCTGGGGGAGCCCCCATGGCATTGCCAGCATCCAGGTGTGGTCCAGATGTGGTCCAGCTATTGGGTCTGTCTGCCATAGTTTGTAAGAGCAGCAGCTAGATCCTACCACAACTCTGAACAGCCCTGACCAAGAGGAGGCCCCATGAGGCCAGTGTGTGTCTGGCCACCCTGCAGAGGAGAGGACGACGTGGGACAGTGGAGGGAAGAAGGAGCTGGAGGAGGCTTTGGAAGGATGGGACCTGCAGGTATCAGGGGCACTATATACCAACTCACCCACATCCACCTGCTCCATGGGAAACTGGCAGGTGGAGCCATAGAAGGTGCTGGGGCAAATGCACCTGAGGCCATCCCAGGAGCCCCCATGCTGGCACCTGGGCTGCTGAAGCTGGCAGTGGTCCCCGGAGAAGCCCGGGAGGCACATACAATGGCCCTGGGCCCAGGTGCCACCGTTGTCACAGGTACCTGGCAAGCACGAAAGAGAGGGAATGGCCGGTCAAGACAGAGCTTCCCCTGGGGGACAAAGGGAGGACGTGAACTGGGAGACAGCAGGCCCAACCTGGGAGTGTGGTCAGCCTTGACTCTGGGCTGCTCTGAATCACACTGGATGTAGTCCTGGGGGACATGAGGCTGGAGGGAATCCGGGCAGGGGTGGCCGGTATCTCCGATGTCCTGGCAGGGAGCAGGGTGGGCTGTGTCACCTTGCTGGAGGTCATCGTCATGGCTGGAAGGCTGCCACTGGGCTTTGTGGGAAGGCCAGACCCACGGGGGGTGGTGGCAGGCTCAGGACTCTTCCATGTTGTGCTGGGGAGTGACCAAGTGCCGGCAGGGATGGTCTCAGAGCTGGGTACATCACTTGTGATGGTGCTGGGCTGTGGTCCCATGGTCACAGAGGTAGAAGTGTCCGTCAGAGTAGGAGTGACAGGTGTCACAGTGGTGGAACTGGGAGAAGTGACCATTTTGGCCATAGAGGTGAGGATTGAGAAGGGGGTGGACTGGGTACTGGGCTCCCGCTCCGCCCAAAGGATGGTTGGGGAGGGGGACAGGGTGGTAATGGCTGTGTTTTCTGGCTGGGGTATAGTGGAAGGAAGGGGAGCTTCAGAAAAAGGGGGTGTTGCAGTGAGCAGCGTGCTCAGGGGCAAGCTGGTTGCAGAAGACGAGGGAGCAGAGAACGGTGAGAGAGAAGACGGTCCCATGCTTCCTGTGTTGGCAGTGGGCATGGCTGTGAGCAAGGTATGCCGAGTGGGGTGTGCTGTTACAGGGGGGCCTGGGACAGGGCTAAGGGATGTCACCGCGCTGGATGTGGAATGAGGCGCTGGTGTGTCAGTGTGCAAGGAGGAGGGGCTGAGCAGGGTGGACCCAGGGGGTCTGTAGGTTTTATTGTCAAAGGTTGCTGGAGGGGATGTGGGTGCTAACACTGTAGCAAGGGAGCTGGGGTCAGACCTTGTAGGGCTTGTGGGCCAGGCAGGAGTGGGGATGGAGTTGGGGCCCCCTGGGGGTGATGTCCCCGAGTCTGGTAGGGTTGGGAAGGATGACATGATGTGTGTCGGACTTGCTGAGGTCTGGGGCGCCATGGGTGTGGGGGAGAGATCTGAATCAGGGGCACCTACAGAAGAGTGGATGGCAGTCGTCAGAGTCCTCTCAGGGCTGTTCGTGTCCAGAGAATAAGGGGGCGTGGCCGTGGGCATCCTCCTGGTCTCTAAGGAACTGGGAGAAGATGCAGTGGCCATGGTGGAGATGGTGGGAAAACTGGGAGGGGTAGTGCCGCCTGGAGGGGTAGCCTGGGAGTGGGTGGCAGGGGCTGTGGTCCCCAAGGGAGATAAAGGCACAGTGGCAGAGGTGCTCATGGGGGTGCCCGGCTCCCTGCTGGACAGAATCCCACCCGGAATGGATGTCAGAAACTTGCTTATTGTAGCAGTGGATCGGGCAGCTGTGCTGGCAGCCGTGGGACTTGTGGGAGGTACCAGGGCAATGGAAGTGGTTTCTGTACTGAGAGACACTGCAGGGTCCTTGCTGGCAGTAATCAGGGTGGTCTCTCCCGGGAAGGTAGCCTGAGGGGTGGGGAAAGTCCCATGGCCTGGGCTAGTGGAAGCTGCACTGGATGCGTGTGGTCCTGTGGGGGTGGCTGCTGTGATCACACTGGTGGGAGTGGGTGTTGGGGGAGACTCAGCTGTGGTGTGGAGTGTTCTGGTTTTGCCTGGGGCAGAAGAGATGGGCTGTGTGTGAAGGCTGCTGGTGTTTGTGAAAGAGGAAAACCCAGATGTGGACAAAGGACTTAGTGGAGGAGTTAGAGTGTTGACAAGGGCTGTGGACACACCCAGAGTGGTGGCGGAAGCTGTGCGCACATGGAATGTTGTGTTGCTATTGGACAATGATGAGGTTGATGGGAAGATGCTTGAGAGCGTTGCTAAGGAACTGGTTGGAGAAAGGTGTGACCCCATGCCCGCTGATCCGCTGGTGCCCACAGACAAGTGGGTGTCAGTGGTGTATGTGGCTGTTGAGGTGGATTCACCTGGTATGTGGGCCGCACTGGTGGTGGCTGGAGCCAAGGACCCAGAGGTCCAAGAACTGCTGACCAACGTGGAAGAGGAGACTGACCCAGTGGGGCCCACAGAAGAGTGGACGGCAGGGGCAGGGGTTGTGTGGGAAAGGTCTGCAGTCAGGGCTATGGAGGGTGGCACTGTGGAAAAGGAGAGGATGGCAGTTGTGGCTGTGTTGGGTGTGGGGTGGCTGTGAGAGGAAGTGATGCTGGGGGTCCCGTGTGAGGGGATCTGTGTGGCTGTGGCTCCTCGGGTAGTGGTGGGAGTCAGGGCTGTTTCTGTAGTGGTTGGTGAGGATGCTGTAAAGGCAGGAGAGATGCTGGTGGTTGGTGCACCTGTCACAGAGGTTGTAGAGGGCGTGAAAGCACTAGTAGGGGAATTGCGGAAGGTGGGCTCAGATGGGGGCATGGACACGGCATTGGCGGTAGAGGGTGCAGACAGCAAGATGGATGAAGGGGAGACGTCACTGTGGCCTGGCTCTGTGCTTGGGAGAGGAGAAGACGGCACAGTCAGGCCTGGGGGTGATGTCACAGTGAGGGTAATGACAGTAGATAGGAGAGCTGACTCAGGTCTCCCTGTGGTTGTCACAGTGTGTGTAAGTGATTCCGTGGCTGTGGGTGTTGTGGCCGTGTTTGTGTGTGTGGTTGCTGCGGTGGATTCACCTGCTGTGTGGGCCGCATTGGTGGTGGCTAGAGCCAAGGACCCAGAGGTCCAAGAACTACTAACTGACGAGAAAGGGGAGATTGAGCTGGTGGTATCAACAGGTGAGTGAATGGCAGGGGTTGGAGCTATGCAGGGGAGGCCTATAGTCGGAGCTGGGGGAGTCAGTGTTGGGAAAGAGGAGAGGATGGTAGTTGTAGTAGAAAAACTGTGGGAGGTGGTGTCAGGTGGAGGTGTGGACACGGCATTGGTGAAAGGTGTTATGGATTGCAAGGTGGATGGAGAGGAGACATCAGTGGTGCCTGGCTCTGTGCTTGGGAGAGGAGAGGAAGACACAGTCGTGCCTGTGGATGATGTTAAAGCACCAGTGGTTGATACAGCAAGTGTGCTCGTTGTCCAGGGCATACAGGTGGTGTTTTGAGTTACTGAGGATGTGTCTGTGGAAAAAGAAGAATGATCTGTGGTTAGAGGAACTGCGGTACCGTCTGCAGTAAGGGTTTGCGCAGTTGTCCCAGTCGGTGTGCCACTAGGATTTGTGAGAGTCATATGACCCACACCTATGACTGTCATGGCCTGGCCACTGGAAGGTGGGGAATGGTTGAGGATGGGATTGGTTTTTGCCATGGAGAGAAGCCCATGTAGGATGGAAGCAGACAAGGCCAAGGTGCCTGTGTTGGCAGAACAGAGAACCAGGCGTGACCATGCATTTCGCTGCAGCACCATCATGCCACTGCGGTCATCGCTATCCCAGTTCCCAGATACAGATCATGACAGCAGGGGGGAGGTTGCTCATTCCCACATGGAGGCACTGGGAGCTGGAGCTTCCTCCTGCCCAGGGCAGGAGCCAGCGGGTTGGGGCGCCCTGTGCCCCTCCCTCACTGGAAACAGGTTGGCCAAGGTTCCTCTCTCACACTTTCCTCCCAGCCCCACTGCTGCCCAAGCTGAGTTTCTTTTTCCCCAAGAGTGAGAGCTCAGTCAAGGCCACACAACCAGGGTGGGGCCGATGAGGAAAGAGCCGCAGGGCACATGCCAAGTGCAGAGAGAGAGAGAGACTTGAGATCCCAGACTGTACTGAAAGCCAGGGGCATGGTGGGTGCAGGCGGACAGAGCAGGGAAGCCAACTTTCAGAAAGAGCAGGTGGGAGAAAACATTCCAGAGACCTTCAGCCTTAGCAGTGCATGTCAATCACCAAATCAGACATTTGCCAGGTTCTTCTGCCTCTGTCCCTGAACTAGGTAATACACCAACATGCACACCCTCAACCCTACAGACAGCACCAGCCCATGCTGCAGGAAGTAAGCCTGAAGCTCCAGAGGTGAGGAGTGGGGAAGGGGTTCCTGGGCTGCAGCAAGCAGGAAACACCCTCCCCAACCTCCGACCACCTGTCCATACAGCTTAAACTTCTTCATGTGGGACATGCCACATCGTTTCCCTGAGAACTGGGGCCAGGGACCGGGAAGCAGGGAGTAGGGACACCATGAGGAGCCCCTGGTGCCAAATTGTGGCCCCGGAAGCGAAGGAACAGCTGAACCAAGATAGGTCCCCACACTGGCTGACCTCTGACCCACAGCCTCAAGGCAAAGTGCACTTCAGCATGTCCCCAGACAGCACTGGTGACAGCAACTTTGCCCAAGGACATGGGCCCTGGCAAGGGTTGAGAGAGGGAAGGGCAGAGCCGGGGTGGGAGGGGAATGGGGCAAGGAGCTGCCCAGGCAGAGAAGCAAGAAGCAGGGAGAGACTCAAGAGCAGGCAAGAGGGGAAGGGAGGCATTGAAAGGTCAAGGGGAGGGAAGGTCTCTTGCAGAGGGACCCTGGGACAGGGGACAGGAAGACAGAGGGGCATTCCAAAAATGGAGGAGAGCCTGTCCCAGGAGCCGATGCAGATGTACCCTCAACAACCGGTTCAAGTCAGAGCTGCAGCCGGAGCCTCCCAGCTTCCTTGGCCCCATGCCCACAGCCCCCAGCCCCACACAGAAATATCAGAAGGATCTCCAACCTGCCACCCCCCACACATTCTCCCACTCACCTGTGGCTCCTGAGCATGCCTTGAGCACGCAGAGGAGGCCAAGGAGCCCCAGCAGCCTCATGGAATTTGGGGGACAGGACCCACGCAGGTGGTCGGTGCAAGACAGCAGGAGAGAGACTGCAGCCACGTTTGCACAAGGCGCCCGCCCCAATGGAAAGTGGTTATTGCCTTGGCAGGCTGGAGGGCTGAGCCGCACCTATGCACCACCCACCTCTCCCCTTCCCACTTCCTATGCTGGATCCAGTGGTGGGACAGGACAAACCAGGAGGTGCTGGCCGCCCCAGCCAGGCTTCAGCCCCAACCCCAGGAGTAGACTGGAGCCTTGATCCATCTTGGTCTTCGTTCCAGGCACACCTGCTGGGAAGGGGCTGGTGGTACCCGACTCCCTTGCAATTCCCTTGCTGTCATGGCGGACCCTGGAAACAGCCCAGATGGATTGTTACAATCCAGAAAGACCAGGGGAGATCAGAAAAGCATCACCAAAGACAAACTCACACGGGTCCTGTCAAGTGGAATCAGTCAGCCGTGCTTTTATTGAAATGCACAGGTGAATACACACAAGTCCTTGCAGTGGATACACAAATACACACATGTGGGTAAGCACATTCAGAAGTTGGCGAAGATTCACCTGCCAGCAAGGGCGTAGGATTAGCTCAGAGAAGCCTGAAGGAGCTGAGGCTGGGGGAGCTTGTGGGGGTACCACCAACCACCTCTCTAGTGCCACAGTTTGAATCTCCCAAGGCGCACCTGCTTCAGACCTCCTGCCTGCAAGGTGGCAATGCTGAGTGGTGGGCCCTTTAAGGGGTGGGACTTTGGGTTACCTGAGGACAAGCCCTGCAAGAGACAAAGGTCCCTCTCCTGAGACCTTGAGTGAGTTCTCACAAGAGTGAATTATAAAAAAGCATGAACCTGGCCTTGCCTCCTGTGTGGAGTGGGGGCCACTCCCTCCAGTACTTGCTCCCACCACCACCATCCACCATGACATGACAGGTGGCTACCCTGATGCTGCAGCCTCTGCTCCTGAACCTCCTGAACCTGGAGCTCAGCTCCAGGCTGAGCTACGTTAATACACAGGACAGGGGGGAGCAGTAGCCATGGGGAAAAGGCACCACTTAGGGCACGAGCATCCAGTGTCAGAGTGCCTGGTTCAAGCCCTTGCCCCTTCCACTTCCAAATCAGCTTCCTGGCAATACACACCTGGGAGGCAGCGGAGGGAAGGGCACGGGGGAAGGGGGGTTTCAAGCACTTCGTTTCCTGCCACCCATGCAGGAGACGTGGATGGAGTTTGGGCTCCTGGCTTCAGCCTGGCCCAGTGCCGTCTCTGGCAGATCCTTGGGATATGAACCAGCAGAGGACAGACCCTCTGTGTCTGTATGCCACCTGTTACGTCATGGCGGATGGTGGTGGTGGGAGCAGGTACTGGAGGGAGTGGCCCCCACTCCACACAAGAGGCGAGGACAGGTTCATGCTTTCTACAATTTTTTACAATTCTGATCATATTTCAAAAACAGGAATCCAGAAGTGGACCTGGCACAGTGGTCTAGCAGCTGAAGTCCTCGCCTTGAACACACCACCAGGATCCCATATGGTGCCAGTTCTAATCCCGGCGGCCCTGCTTCCCATCTAGCTCCCTGCTTGTGGCCTGGGAAAGAAGTCGAAGATGGCCCAAAGCCTTGGGATCCTGCACCCCCTTGCTCCTGGCTTCAGATCAGCGCAGCTCCAGCCGTTGTGGTCACTTGGGGAGTGAATCATCGGACAGAAAATCTTTCTGTCTCTCCTTTCCTCTATATATATGGCTTTGTAATAAAAAAAAATTTAAAAAGGAATCCAAAAGTATCAACATAAGGTTAGGCATGAACAAGGCTTCTGTGGAAAGTCCTGGGGAATCCCACCCTTCCCAGCAGGACAGGGCGAGGCCAGAGGGGCCCAGGCAGCCATGAGCCTCCCAAAGACTGCTCCACTCGGAGAGTCTTATATTTTATTAAGGTTTATTTCTTTTTATTGTAAAGGCAAATTTTTTAGAAAGAGAAGGAGAGACAGAGATCTTCTACTGGTTCACTCCCCAAATGTCAGCAACAGCCAGAGTTGAGCCTTTTCAAAGCTGGAAGCCAAGAGCTTCTTCCAGGGCTCCCACGTGGGTGCAGGGACCAAGGACTTGGGCCATTCTGCTGCTGTTGTCAGGTGTGTTAGCAGAGAGCTGGATGGGAAGTGGAGCAGCCAGACTTGGACTGGTGCCCATAGGGGATGCCAGTGCCACAGAGCAGGGGATTGTCCTGGAGTAAAACTGTGCCAGCTCCCACGTGGAGGTCCTTGAGAGGCTATGCTGCACCTGTTTCCTGAGGTCCCCAGGCCTCTGTGTCCCCTGCAGGGTCTGAAGTGAAAGGACCTGAGATACCCTGCAAGCACCTGGGAGGCATGCGGTGACCTTGGAAGTGGACCAAGGAGTGCCAGGATAAAGCATGAGGTGAAGTGGGCCCCAGCACCCAGCAATGGTCCAGGCGAGGCCGTGGACAGGCAGCCAGGGCTCTTGGAGTCCCTCACTTGGGCTTCCTAACACTTTTGGCTGTGTTGTCCAACTTCAGTGTGGCTGTCACAATGTTCTTCCTCAGGCTGAGGCCCCAGATGGTTCCAGTCAGGCTTAGGGTCTCAGCCAGTCAGACTGTGGACCAGTGGGACCCTGGGGAAGACACTGAGGACAAAGGGGTCAGCCCAATCATCAGTGATACCCAGGGAACACTGAAATGCGAGTCGTGAGAAGTCAGGTGGGAGAGGCGGGTCCAGGGTCCCACCACTGCCACAGGGATCCAAGCAAAGCCAGGAACCTGGGACAGTATAAGCTGGGACCACCCCTCCCCACCCCAGGATGTCAAGGACACGGGGGGGGGGGGCAGGGAGAGGTCACTTCTTGCCCCCCCCCCCCAGGAGGGAGTGAGAAAGAGAAAGCTGGGAGGCTCAGTTAACTCAGTTATACCTCAGTTATCACCTGTGGCTTGGCTCAGCTCATGGGCGGGGCTCGGAGTGTGGCTTGCGGGCAACCCTGAGTGAGATAAGTTGGCAGTGAGATAAGTTGAAGTCACGAGGCCCTGGGGCTGAGCCCGTGGCTCATGGTAGCACATGGTCCTTTCTCACTTGCATGTGTGGCTTGGCCTTCCCCTCACATCTGCACTCCCTGCTACAGTGATTCCACTCTGGACCCAGGGGGCTGACAGAGCAGCCCCTGGCTGGCCCACTACCGATGACTTCACAGCAGTGGAAAATGACAGATGGACAAACCACCTGCTGGCCCTTAAAGCCTTGCTCCAGAAATAACCTCCAGCTGAGTTCCGTTGGGCAAAGCAAGTCCCATGGTTGACTGGAGGTAGACAGGACAGGGATAATCAGCTACTACTGGGCAGAGGCTCCATGGGGCAGACGCCAAGCCTGATAGCAATGGGGCAGAGAGATGCCATCTACCCCAGGGACAGAGGGCAAATGCCAGCCACACAAGCACTGTCTCCCGCAGCTCAAAACCCAGGTGTGGATAAGGATGACAGTCACACAGATTCCACCAGGACCAAGGCATGGTAGGTCAGGTTGCCCCTGGAAACACTGCTAACCCATACCTGAGTACCAGCTCGAGTCTTCAGCTGCTCCACTTCCCATCCAGCTCCCTGTTAGTGTGCCTGGAGAGACAGAGTAAGATGGCCCCTGTGCTTATGTGGGAATTCTGGATGGAGTTCCAGGCTTCTGGCATCCACCTGGCCCAACCTATGCCCATGTGAGGGTAAACCAGCAGATGGGAGATTCTGTCTCCTCCCACCCAGGCTGCCTTTCAAATAAATAAATATTTTGGGCCCGGCATGGTAGCTCAGCAGCTAAAGTCCTCGCCTTGAGGATGGCCCAAAGCTTTGGGACCCACACCCACATGGGAGACCTGGAAGAAACTCCAGTCTCCTGGCTTCAGATCAGCTCAGCTCCTGCTGTTGTGGCTGCTTGGGGAGTGAATCATCGGATAAAAGATCGTCCTCTCTCTGTCTCTCCTCCTCTCTTGTATATCTGACTTTCCTATTAAAATAAATTAAATAAATAAATCTTTTTTAAAAAGAAAAAAAAAAAACTCTGCCAGTGGAACAGGAAGGTAGAATGAAACCCCTGGTGGGTCACTGCGGAGATGGGCCCCAGATGTGGGGAGCTGGAGGGCTCAGCCCCTCCGTAGGATAACTGGACGGTATCCCTTGGAGCCCAGGAAGTAGAAGTCCACCATGTACTCCTGATGCTTAACACTGCCAGCATGCTGGAAAGGTGGCACTGTTGGCAGGGAGGGGACCCTCCAAGGGCTGGTGGGACCACAGGAGCCACATCTCCAGGGAAAATGTGAGTTAGGTAGACAGGGTGACATGTGTGCTGGAAGTCCCAAGGACTTAACACATCTTGGCAACTCAGAAACCACCAGAGGAGTCTGGTGGATATCCGCAGAAGTGGCAGCCTCATTGTCAACCCACCCATGCAACTGCCTAGTACCAAGGACCTTGCTGGAAAAGACAGCAGGTGCCAGCTCCTGACTCAAGAAAACGCCACCTTCTCTCAGAGCATGCCTCTGAGCTCATGAATATTGTATTCCCTCATTAGACAATCAAATGAAGAGAAGACCGATAGCTCCAGGCTACAGATGTCTACCCCTCCACCTTCCAGTGTGGCCCCTCACCCCACCTCTCCAGCAAACATTCTCAACCCTCACTGTACTACACCACCCCGGTCACAACATGGTTACAAACCCAGAGACACAAGAAGAGAGTCCCTGTCCATTCAGGGGATGTACAAGAAGCCAAGAAGGTGACCCACACGCCCGATGTGGCTTCAGACCACTTGTCAGGTGACAGCACAAAGGGCAAGCGAATTTCCAAGAACTTATGGAAAAATGAGATGGAAAGATGAGTTTATTTTGGTGCAAGAAATCTGAAAGCTCTCTTCAAAAAGTTCTTTATTAGGGGCCAATACTGTGGCGGAGCAGGCTAATCCTCTACCTGTGACGATGGCATTCCATGTGGACATCGGTTCTTGTCCTGGCTGCTCCACTTCCCATCTATTTCCCTGCTGATGGCCTGGGAAAGCAGCAGAGGCTGGCTCAAGTCCTTGGGACCCTGTACCCACTGGGAGACCCAGAAGAAGCCTCTGGCTTCTTACCAGCTCAGTTCTGATCATTGTGGCCATGTGAACCAGCAGATGGATGATCTCTCTCCCTATAATGCTTCCAAGTTAATTAAATGAATCTTTTATTCATTAAAAAATATTCATTTGTAAAATTTTTTAAGATTTATTTTATTTTTATCACATTTAGATATACAGAGAGGAGGAGAAACAGAGAGGAAGATCGTCCGTCCGATGATTCACTCCCCAAGTGAGTGCAACGGCCGGTGCTGGGCCAATCTGAAGCCAGGAGCCAGGAACTTCTTCCAGGTCTCCCACAGGGGTGTAAGGTCCCAAGGCTTTGGGCCTACTTCAACTTCTTTCCCAGGCCACAAGCAGGGAGCTGGATGGGAAGCAGGGCTGTACAGCTTACTGTATAGTTACTGTACATCTCCCTCCTAAAATGCCTGAAAAGCAGTGGAGGGGAAGCGGAAGTACTTGCCACGTGGTCAGGCATTGCCCTGGGTGGAGGACAGCAGCACTCTGCATCTCTTGGGGAGCTGAAGGGGCTGGGTACCAGGAACACTTGGGATGGGCTTCAAGGCCAAGAGCCGTAGCATTGCCCATCTGCCCAGCATCCCCACCATGGAACAGATCTGGAGGACGTGGGCGCGGTGTAGGGGACTGCCAGATCCTGAAAGTGTCCCCAGGAGAATCAGAGACCCCGAGGCCAAGTGTGAGCAGCTCTACCGCCAGAACCGAGCCATCTTGGCCATCAATGTGTGCCTGCAGCAGGGGGTGAGGGGCTGAAGCAGCACGCCAGGGCCTGCAGAGCACCCACAACCCACTCAGGTGATGACGGTGGCATTCCCCAGCCACCAGACCACCTCCTCCAGCTGGCCCGGACTTGTGTGCCATCTGCCCCAGGCTGGACCTCACCTGTTTCTCATCCAGGCATCTCCTCTGGCTGGTTTCTCCTTGCTTCCCACATGGAGAGACAGGAATGGGTCTTGGGGACAGAGTTACCTGGAGGGCCTGGGCCACCACAGCTCCGCCTAGGGAGCCGGCATCTTCTCTCAGACCCTGGCCCTGGGTACAAGTGGAGGTGATATGGCAGATGACGCCGGTGAAGCCACAGGTTGGGCGAGCAGGCCCGAGGTCAGTCCTGGGTGCCCCCCAGGTACAAGCCCCATGAGCTCCCAGACAACCCGGCCTTTGGGCCCAACAGTTTGTCGTCTTTGGCTGCCCCTCCCCTGCCTGCGTCCCCAAAGACTGATGCCTGGCGG